CTAGATGATCTGCTCAGGTCCCTTCCGACCCTAGAAACTATGAAACTATGATTAATTGGTTAATCATATCTTAAGTACAAGATGTGCCAGGGGCCAACAAGTGATCTAGTTGAAACTGACATATCTGTTGTCTTCAGAAGACCTGAAATATACAACAGTTTGTAAAATGAATGTAATTTCAATCTATTTCATTCTGAAAGATATGTAATCTATACATTCTAATTTGAAATAATTGTCTGGTTTGAGAATAAAATTAATTTGATAATTTTCTTAATTCATTTATATGGAAAAATGTTTTCCCCTATTAAAAAAAAAACAATGACCAGAAAAATGATTGAGATACTAAATTTAATACCTCTTACATTAGGAAAAACAGCGGCCTGCTTTCACTAGTATTAGCCAAATGCCAATAAGGCTCATCAAGTAAGGCTGACTAGCGAAAGAAACACAGAATCAAGACAAGAGGTGACCAGTTCTTTGATCTCATTCCTTCTTTAAATGAAATCTCTGTACAGTGATTATCCTCTTTTCTAAATGTACTATTATAAATCTTTCACGTATGTAGAATGATGCTTTAAGAAGATGGTATTGCACTCTAGCAAAACTCTCATTTAATCAGTTTTACACATATAGGGGTTGCAGAATAAAACCTTAGGCTTATAAAAATGAATACACTTTAATTTCTGTATAGTTTTACATTGAAACATTCTGACATGTTATTTTAAATATAAAATTATATAGGCACCAGGTTTGACATGCATATAACAGTGAATTAATATCTATCTTGATTTTTCCCCAAATGCAACATTTGCATCATAGGAAGTGTATTCATGAACACAAATAAATTCGCTCTTTTACTGAAAGAATTGTTTCCTTAAGAAGATTAGTCCTTTTGAATGCTCAGGAACAGTACTGACAAATAAACCTAAAATTGCTATAAATCAACTCTGATCTATAGATCAGCCATCCATTGAACCTTTAAAAAAGAGCATGCCTGTCTGAAAACTCTGTTAATTTAGCCTATTATGCACTCTTCTAAATCAAGTGTCAACAACTAACATGCATAACACTCTGTAGATTTAAGTGTTATGTGTAGAGTTGATGCCAATAATACTGCTTTCCACAACTGTCTTGAATTAAATAATGGAAGCAAGAGCCTGTTCTCAATGCAAATTCATCCACTTTAAATATGCATTTTGGTCAGTGATATAAAACTCAGCAAGCAGGCTGAAACAGGTAGCCATGCTGTAGGAATGCATGCTTTTTTGGTTTCTAAGTGATTTGTTGAGTTTAAGAAGGTTTCTGGGTCTAAATCCTATTTCACTTTACATGCTTAAGTGGTATATAAGGGTGCCTATACATAAGCAGGGAGACTGCTCTGAAGCACTGTAATTACAGCGCATCAAAGCAGACTCAATCAAGTCTGCTGGAGCACGGCAACTACCACACTCCATCAACCACCCACATCTTGTGCATCAACATAATGAATAGTAAAGGCAAGGTATAGTGAGCCAGCTTCAAACAGGGGGTTAAAGCACTATCCTGGGAAATGCAGGTTCCTCCTCTAAATAAAGGGGGCCTAGAAGCTGGAGCTCCTGGTCCTGGGACAAGTACCCTAACCACTAGACTATTAGTCTTAAAAGTGAGACTGCTGCCTTCCTCTTCAAGTGTACAATACCTGCCTTGTTGTGGTTTTTTCCTGACTAAAACTTCCAGAGTTGCATGGCCATCTACCTGGGAAATTCTATTTCCCTACTAAGTCTGCACATAAGTGCCAAAAACTGCAGTTACATAGCTACGTATGTGCCATTTAGGCACATAAATGGAACAGATTTTACCCTTAGCATTGAACTAGAAGCTAAATTAAATATTTACGTCACTATTAATGCATAATTTCAGTCACCCATAAAAACACTGCAAATTAGAGAGCATCTCTTTCCCTCACTGAAGTTGGGGGTGAAGTGTCAAAATGCTTACAAAGGCCTTACAGAGATAACTCATCGACTAGATAATCATAACCTGTTCCTCCATTTTAATTTATCAGTTTTACAGTTCCTTTGAAATCCCTAGTAATAAACTTAAAGTACAAATGGTGAACCAGTCCAGGATGAATTACTTTACTAAAACACTAGGCCTAAATTCAAAGATTAGCACCACAGAAAGAAATATTTCGTTTATCTGAGCGTACGAAAATTGAGTGAAACATTAGCCACTCACAAAAATGCCCAATAGAGTTGTTTTCCAATGATTATTTTTAAGTCACACTGCCATCTTCAGATTAAGTATGAGACATGCAACTCAAAGCTCTCAGGCGATTCTGTCATTTCTCAGTTACTCTGGTTCTTTTCCAGTTTTCTACCCTTTCAAGCCAATATGACCATTTTCAATTTAAATAGGAAAAAACCCCCAAAATGAAAATCTTAAAATTGGTTGTTAACAATGACAAGTTTAAGGTTCCACTGATGAGCCTGATAGGATTTCCTTTATAGCCTTAAACTTGTACAGAAAACAGGTCTGAACACCAGCAAAGACAGGCAGTGTCCTCAGTCCACAAAAAACTATAATAAACACTTCTGTAATTACAGTAAGAACATAGTCACTTCTGGGTGTTGAAGCATCTAGTTAAAAAAAAAATGGCCTAAAACAAAAGCTATGCTTTTCTTAGTAAGGAAATAATTGAAAGAGGAGAATGTTATGAGCTTCAAGATGTGTCCTATCACTCAAACAGTGTTTACTCAGAATTTCTCTCTTTCATCTCTCCCTATATGTGCATAGAGAAGACAGGTGGTAGACTAAATAGTGCAGGATTCAAAAGGTCTGGAATTTCACTATGGAATAAATTAAAGGAGTGAAATTGGATATTAATACAGTATCAGATATTAGCAGACTGTAAACTTCTTGAAGCAGAAGTGTTTTTATTTTCATGTCTTGTATATCATCAAGCATATAATTAGCTTTTAACATGATGATAATAAGGGAAGGAAAAATGTCCTTTTGCTATAAACCTCTTTTTAAAGAGTCTAGTTTTGCATATGGTATGAAACTTCTTGAAATACGAATAGTTAAAAGCCGTATCTGCAACCCTTGGCTATTTTGAGCCTGTTTTAACAGGTGTAACTATAAATATAGTTTAGAAGGATTTAGCTCCAGCACACAGAAGACAAGTAAAGTTAAAAAAAATACAACCCCCCACATATAACAGTATACATTAATTTTTCACTTAATTTCATAACTTTCAAATTGACATTATTCATGCTCTGACAAGTTAGCTCCTTCTATTTTATAGGCAACTTATGTAAAAGACCACCACTATACTACTTCTGAAATTTTTGTTAACACAAACATTTTAAATATCACATTTCATTATCTCCCTTAGACATACTGTTGCATAACATGAAGGATCGAGGTCAAATGAAAGAAAAAGTGATGCTTTTGATGCATCTAGATGACAGCTGTCTTCACTTTTGATTCCCTCTTTACTATCTTCTAAGAAGCAATAAGATAAATTGTGAACATTTTTCAAAATGTGTCTGTAGCATCCAGGTATATTCAGCTGTAATGCAGACAGTCTAAACCTGCATGTCTGCAATGCATCCTCAGCAAGCATTTCATGGTACCACTGCCCAACTTTATTACTGGGATACTTGATACTGTGCCCAACCATTGGAAGAACCACCTAAAGAAGAAGGAAAAAA